AAAACAAGAAACTAAAAAATAAAAATGAACTTAAAAAGAAGATGTTGCCAAAGAAGAAGAAGATACTTAAGGCGACTTGAGACAAATCGAGTACCTTTGAAGACGAGGAGTAAACCAACAAAGACAATGTGGTAAACTATGTCTTGGTGGCTCTCAACGATGAGGTAAATGACTCATCGAAAATCTCTTTATCTTATTATGAAATTACTTGATGCTTTTCATGAGTTATTTTTAAATTAGTTAGTAAAAAAATAAAAATAAAAATAAAATCATGCTTCTTTTTCTAATGATTTAAAATAAATTAAAATTTTGAGCATCACAATTGCATGTTAACTCCTAGCATTAAGCATGAAAAGCTAGATTCATTTAAAAAGAAAAATGTATTACTATAATAAATAAAATAATTTTGATTGAAAATACTTTATATTTCATGAAATCATGCTTGATGTTTTAATGATGTAATAATGTAATGAAAATGTTAAAAGGTTTGGTTTCATGATTGATGATTTTATATTATGCATAAGGATTTGAAGTAATGATGATTTGAAATCTTAAGTTTTGGAATTATGTGTTACACTTTTGATCTTGATGATTTTTATGATAAATCTTATTTTTCGAGTTTAAACGATAATGTATGGTTTTGGCTTAGAAAACAATGGCATGCTTGTACAAAATCAATCACATAGATGAATGCATTATTTTTCTTGAAAATGATGCTATCCCCAAAAACTTATTAAATTTTTCAACAAGAGATCCTAAGAGATTAATAAATCTATTCATGTCATTTTGAATCTCTTGAAAGTGATTTTGATTATTTGAATTTGAATTTGAATGAGATTTTACCTATATCGTAATTTTGATTCCTCGAAATCATAACTTGAAATCTTTTATGAATTAATATATCTTATTATGTATTCTCGTATTATTTAAGAGGGGTGTTTTTTTTATGAATCATGATTTTTTGAATTATAACTTGAGATTTTTCTTTAATATATAAATCATGATCTTGATAACTTGAGATTTATTATGCATGAATCGAGATATTTTATTTGTCTCTCCTATGATTCTTTTTGCTTTATATAAAAGAGGAGTTTTATTCAAATCATGATCTTGATTCTTTTATAATTATAACTTGAGATTCTTATGAATCAAGACTGTTTAATATGATTTTTCTTTTCGCTATTTAATTTATCCAAAAGAATCATAATTTGTCTCTTGATATTCACAACTTCAAATTTATTTTCATGAATTATATATCTCATCATCAAGTTAAATTTTCTTAATATATTTCATGTGATGATTTAAAAATTGATGTAATGGGAAAAGTTTTGCACTATTATAACCATCCCTTCTTTTTTGGGAGCAAAAGTTGCTAGCTTGCTCAACTCAAAAGAGAAGTAAAAATTATAAACTTACATATTGCAAAGAAAGGTAAAACTTGTTAGCTTGCTCATCTTAAAAGAGAAACAAGAAGTACTATCTTATAAATCTCAAGAGAAGCAATATTTGCTAACTTACACATCTTAAGAAGATACAAAAACATGTTATCTTGTACATCTAAATTTTTTTTTTTGCTAATTTTTATATCTCTAAAACTTGCTAAGTTTGCATGTTCTATAGTGAAGTAGAAATTACATGTTTCAAAAATATACTAGTTACACTTTTCTCATTTTTGTTGATAATAAAGGGGGAGAAGGTACGATGATGATTTGAATTATGTATAATATGATACACTTTGATGTATATGAAATTTGATGTTTTGAAATTATGATTATGTATGCAATACTCATAATTTAATTATGATGATATATATGATGTATTGTATATGATGTGAATCATGATTAAAATTATTTTGACTTGAATTCAATTTGAATTCAAGGTTCATTTCAATATGGTATATTGATAGGGGAAGTTTGGTTTAAACTCTGTCATCAATTGGTTGTCATCATCAAAAAGGGGAAGATTGTTGAGTCTCGAATTTTGATGATGAACCAATTGATAGCGTTTATGATTTAAATTTATATTTTGAGTGACGTAAGACTAGCTTCGATCATAAAGAGATAATTAAAGTAGAAAGAATCAATGTTAGACTGGGTGGAATGTTAGAAGATTGGACGTCGAGCTGAAGGATCGGTCGATGAGTCGGTAGAAGGCGTTATGTCATAAGTTCGGGCATTGGGCCTAGAAGAGCTGACATTGTACCAAAAAGATCGGAGTTGTGGAGGTCAACATGCCAATTGGACAAAAGGCCGCAAAAGAGGATGATGCGCCGAATGATTGGACGAAGCGCCAATGAACCAATGACATACCGGACAACATGTGATTAATGCTTTATAATAATTGTCTAGATCGAAGTAGTTTTAAGTTGTAATTGGGTTAAAATTAGGCCAACTCAATTAGGGACCTATGTTGGGGTTGTTTGGGGCCAAGAGAAAGACTCATTTAGTGGCCTAAAAGTTGGGTCAGGCGGTGGCACCGCTAGCGGCTTAATCTCCAAAACACAGTCTTCGAGACTATGCCAAGCAATAGTACAGCCAGACTGGGCGATGGTACCGCCCAGTGTCAAGCGATGGTACCGCCTAGTGTTAGTGCTACAAGCGATAGTACCGCTCAGCACAAGTAGTGGTATTGCCATGACCTAGAAAACCTAGAATGAGACATTTTTTTGTTCTAATTTTAAAGTCATTTAGGGTCTATAAATACCCCAACTATTCCTGCATGGAGAAACAAGAATTGAGTTGAGAAAGGGGGAAAATATTCTTGAGAAAGAAAGGTTGTAATCTCTCTTGAAGTATATGGTCACTTCTTCCTAGTATTTAGAAGTTCTTCTAAAGGGAAAAGTGAGGTCTAAAAAGAAATGTCATTTTTTATCGTACGAAGTTTAAAACCAACGTTTTTATTATAAGCACTAATTCATCCATCCCCATCCCCCCACCCCCCCCTTTCCCCATAGTGCCAATTTCGATCATAATAAACTTAACTAGGTCACCAATCTACTATATGAAATTGGTATTACCTTCCACTCCACTCCTATAATATATGAAATTGATAATATTAGTGTCACTTATCTATGCATCAATTCGGTGTTTGATGAAATATATTATTATCGATTTTTATTTTATTAAAGATCAAGTTATCAAACACCAAATATGTATTTTTTACATTCATATTTTTGAACAATAAGTTGACTACCTCATAAAACTTCTTGCTCGAAAGACATTTCAACTATATCGTTCATATTTTTTATGGATGTTTAATTTTATAAAGACATAATAAAAGATTATGATGTCGATAACCATAAAATGACATACTTATATTTCTTACATTATCAATCTGTATATGATATGAGGATCAATCATAAATTTAAATATATAATTTGATTAAATAATTTAAATATATATAACTATCTCAATAAATAAAATCATCCCTCGTAATAAATTACTCGATTCATGAACTTCCATCTTTCGATTCATAATAAATTGCTGTGACCATAAGCCACAGCAGAAGAAGAGCTGCATCAGCTGACACCAGCATTTATGCCGGACGTCACGTGGCAGGGGGGAAGAACGAAGCAATGTTTCACGTAGCAAAGGCCCCTCCGCGAAACCTCTAGACCTGCCGGTGGGCCCCGTGCGTGGAAGGGCCACGTGAGAGGTGAGAGAGTTTGGGGGAGGAGCCTTTGGTCGGTCCCTTAGCTTAACGTCGAAGTAACCTTACTTAGCTTGAAGGGTCTCCTCCCTCGCCATACAATCATGAACTGACGCGACTGGTGGCAGCTTAAATTACATATACTCCCATCATAAACATTGATTTAGATTATCAGATAAGATGTTAATATACTTTAAGTAGGAAATTTTGAAATATTATTATCCACATTGTAATAAAAATAATATATGGACTGTATTAAGATTTGTTATCAATAAGTGCTTGGCTGAGTGAAATTAATATAATATTTTTTTGAGTACGTATGTGTGTATATACATCATGTCATATACGATGCTTACGAAGTTTTACCGAAATAAGCTCATTAACCATGATATAACACTCATATGTGCAACATTTTCTTGTCGTCTATTAGATGTAAAAAAAAAGTCTTGCATGATCATCATGGAACATTTGAAGCTAATTAAGGCACGAATCTTCCTGTGGATATCTTTTGCTGTGAATAAATTAAAGGAGCATTATATATAAGGAATACTTGTTTGGCTTTCGGAAGGTGTTCATGTCGTCCCCTCACCGCATAACAGGGCCAAAACCGTATACACACAATTCTGACAGCGGCAGTAATGGAATCACGCCACGTATCGAATTTAATTCGTGGCTTCCTATGATTAGCTGTATTTGCTGGAAATTGGTCCGCTCCACCTCCCACAGCGCTACCATCACCGCCCATGGGGGAATCTCGTCAACCATCCGCCACCAGCTTTCCACGCTCTTTTTCTTTTCGGTTCTGTTCTTTGCTTGCTTTAGTTGGCCTTTCGCTTTCCCTGCCACCGTCTTAAAAGTACCCAACGCGCCTCTGCCACCTTCCTTCCACTGTAAAAAGATGGAAGGAGGGCATATTTCTTTCTTACAGCATGATATCAGGGAGTATGGGGCGTATTGGAGGCCATCATAGGCCACTGCACCAGCTTTCCTACTCACACTGTTCAAAGCTTATACGGCAGGGAGTGAGGCAAGAGAGTTCGCTCACTGTCACCAGCGGCAGATGGCCACTCTTCTCCACCTACTCATCTTCCACCTCTTTCTTTACTCTGCATCAAGAGCTCAGATGCCTGGTGAGTCTGGTGTTGTGGGCTTTTCCCGCTTATTAATCTGTAGATCATATGCAGAAGTATCTTGAATCTTGTCAATATAGTTAGGAGTCTGATGGAACTAACAATGCCTCCAATGATCTACTGTGTGGAATGTGCTTGTAGATGTCAGCACAGGTGTTTGACACTTCAAGGGCCTCTGTCAGTACCTCCAGAAGTGAGACAATATATTGGCATCTTAAACAATAATTTGGTTTGTCTTAGACGTTTTAGGAATGAAGTGCTTGAGCAGTGCTAGCGGTCAATAGAACTGAAAAGGAAAAAAAAAAAAAAAAGAGTTGGCTTCTTCTACTGTTAAAAGGAGCAACTTTTATGTGAAGGGGTTTCTTATCTGTTTTTACATCCAATGTCGAAATTTAGTTTGTCTTCCAGCAGATGTTTGTTGATTCAGATTTTCTTTTTTGAAACTAAATGTGTGTGGCAAAAGGGGATGTCTGATCACCCGTGCATGGTATAGCATTTCTCTGAAACAATTTTCTCAAAGGCCAGGGTGATAATAAATGATTGTATGTTGGGTGGCCACTGATACATAAAAAAGGGGTGACGCAGAGGAATAATTAGCTTAGCTTATTTCCTATTGCTTCATGATCAATGTATTATGCGGATATTTTCTTGGTCACTTGCAAATTGTACTCATTTTGTATGGGGTCCAGTTTGGAAATGGTTGATGTAATATGAGGCACCAGGACATTTTATTATCGATCAGATTCCATTGTTTTTCCATATTTAATTAATCATGGAATCAAATGATCTGTTTTTTCATTTTTCACATGTTTTTAAGCATTATCTTGTAATCTTTTTTTAATGCAAGTCACTTCATCGGATCTTAAACAGCACGATAAACTGTGATCATGTAGCTAAGATATTCTTTTGTCACTATTTTCTTTCTCAATAGGCATCTAGATTATGGCCACTTATCATTTAGTCTATAACAAATATCTTTGCATGGATATTATTTGTTTTCCTAATAAAATTGTATGCATATACATTTTTGTTTATTTATGCTACATATCTTCTTTTGCCTTACTCCAGTTTTAGCATTTGTCATATATCTTTAGACATTTTGTTTTGGTTTATATCAAAAACGAAGTGCTGCTATCGTGAGTTTCTACCATGCAATTATATATGACGTACATCTTTTGTTTCTGATAGTCTCCAGTCAATGATGTTATTCTACCATGGTAGTCAGGTATTTTTGTATCTGTTATAACTTTGCGTTGACAATTTAATAAGCTTTTTTCATCAATCATGAGTTGCTACTGTGTGCATTCAAAATGTAAAAACATCTACACCATTTTAATTATGTGTGTATGAACTTATGTGCTCCATAAGCTTACTGTAGAAAACATTATTTTCGATTGCTTTAATTCTGATAGTCTTGGATAGTATTTAATGTTTTTTTTATACCCTTGATATAAATCCTGGCAACATCCTTATCTGTGTTTACCTCAGAAGGTCCATATGGATGATCCGAATAAGCAAACAATATTCTTTTGAAGTACATAATGTGAGGATAAATTTTCCTAGCACTGTCTTACATTATTGCATGTCCTGCGGCAGGTTTTTTAAGTTTGGACTGTGGAGGAACAGATAATTATACAGATGAAATTGGGCTTGAGTGGACTGCTGACAATCAGATTACTTTTGGTCAGACTGCCAGCATATCTGTTCCAGGTGAGAAGAGAAGGCAATATATGAAAGTACGATACTTCCCTGCGGACAGCAAGAAGTACTGTTACATGTTGAGCATGAAAGTTAGAACCCGCTACCTCATAAGAGCAACTTTCTTGTATGGGAACTTCGATAGAAGCAATGTTTATCCAAAGTTTGACATATCTCTTGGGGCAACTTATTGGTCGACCATTGTGATATCTGATGCAAACACTATCGAAGTTCAAGAGGTAGTTATGTTAGCATCTTCTCCAACAGTTAGTGTGTGTCTATCAAATGCCACTACGGGGCAACCATTTATCTCAACACTTGAGCTTCGGCAGTTCAATGGTTCTCTATACTATACAACATATGAAAATCAATTCTTTCTCTCTCTGGCCGCAAGAATAAACTTTGGTGCAGGGAGCAGTGATCCTGTAAGGTATGCTTTGTAGTTTATCAATTAGAATTCATCATCAATTCTAAGTGTATGCTAGAGTTGAGAAATTTTTTACCATAATATCTATCGCATTGTTGAATTGGTTCTTGCTACCATCAAAGTAAACTTTCATGATCAAATGATTTTTGTAGGAGGATATAAGATTGAATAAGCCTTGTGGACTGTCATGAATTTAGCCTTTTCTGCAGTGCATGCTGGAAATGAGACTTTCCTATTCGAGATTGAAGTCACACATGGCCTTGATAGGATGGACAGGTTAATGGATCTTAAGAGCATTTTATGTGGAATATTACAATCTCCAAAACCTTAAATAATATGAATAGCCTATCTAAAATCAAGGATTACAATTTCGAATAATACCGCCTGTACTGGGCGGTACGTATCGGTCCATCAGTAGACTGGTACATAGACCGCCCGCTACCAAGCGGTATTATATATATAATATATATATTATAAATAATAAATATATATATTATAATATATATATTATATAAATATGTGACATCGCCCTCTTTCTCCCCAGCGGGAAAAGGCGACATCGCGTCGCCTTGGCAACGTTGCCGAAAAAGGCGAAGGGGTGTCACCTTTTTTGGCAACGTTGCCGAAAATTCTTTTATATATATATATATATATATATATATATATATATATACCGAATGGTATATCGCTCGGTATCCAGTATCGTATCGTACCGAGCGAATGTAGAAACTCTGGTACGGTACGATATTTCAATCCTTGCCTAAAATCATACTAGAATACATGGTTTTAAGCTTTGTCTATAATGGTTGGTGTAGACTAGGACTTAACTATCCAATAAGGGTATGGTGCAAGGACCACAATGTTGGGGATAGAGGAGCAAGGAAACGATAAAAACAGAATACTACGATGCAAGTAAAAAGAATCCTTTTGATCAAGAAAACCGATATAGTATTTAAAACAGGAGGATTGACATAGAACACTTGCAAGAGATTCCCAAGTGTATTCACATTCTATCTTGCTTCATAAACTATGGTCTTATTTATAGGATCTAGTGGTAACTACCTCACTCCA